TCGCTGTGACATATATATATACAGTCGGACCTCTATTTAACGAAGTCGCTAAATCCCGATAATAATTTCGTTATATGGAAAATTCGTTAAATAGAAAATCATCTTTTGACAAACTTAAACGACACAAAACAGGTTTCAAATTCATAAACACTAGACATAATTAAAATACCAATGGATACACCTTTATATTGTAAAGTAGTATCTACTATTTACAGTACCCTTCCAAATTATTAGGGACACTTAAAATTTCTAAAAAATTGTCATTTTTCAAAGTGTCATAACTTTTTCAAAAATGAATCAATTTTCATAAAAATNAGTGGCACTTAACCTTAAAAAAACATCAGTGTAGGGTATACCGGGAAAATGTATATCAGGAAGTGGCACTTAACCTTAAAAAAACATCAGTGTAGGGTGTACCGGGCAAATGTATGCCTGGCAGTGGCACTTAACCTTAAAAAAACATCAGTGTAGGGTTAAAATATCGAATAAATGTAATTATATCCACGAATAAATTCATACCAAATCGAATGTAATAAATATGACATTCACCAATGCATATCTGTGATTGTCGACATACACCGGTGAGGGTCCGAATGTACAAGAATGTTATGAATTATTCGATCTTTCACCGACGTATTTGGTGCTTGTCGACATTCACCGGTGATAGTCAACAACCACCGATTTCGGTCTTTCGCTGTGACATATATATATATATATACAGTCGGACCTCTATTTAACGAAGTCGCTAAATCCCGATAATAATTTCGTTAAATAGAAAATCATCTTTTGACATACTTAAACGACACTAAACTGGTTTCAAATTCATAAACACTAGACATAATTAAAATAGCAATGAATACACCTTTATATTGTAAAGAAGTATCTACTATTTATTTTATAAATCTTAATCATAAAGAAATCTGCATGGAAAGCAAGAATAGAGCAAAACATTATCCAGTGTTACGCAATCATGCTATATACATTTTCAATTAAAAAAAGCTAAATCTATGCATAAAATTATAGCTGCATTTATTATAAAAGTAATTTTAAACATACATTACCACATGCGTTCGAAAGTTTAATTGCTACTGACAAAATCTTTTAATTTTGTCGTTAATGTTTGAAATGCGAATAAAAAAAAAGAAAGTGATTATACTGCTTTCTCTAAAAGTTAAGTGGCTTCGAAATTCAATTCAAAGGTTGTTTCCCCCATAAAATTCGTTAACAAGTTTAAAATGTTCTGAAATATCTCGGGAAAGTGGATCTCGAAGAAAAGTTCGTTCAATAGAAAATTCACTTCGCTATTTGGAAGTTATTTTACGAAGAAATTTCGAAAATGTTCATGGTTTCTTGAAAAAATTGGCAAAATGGAAGTTCGATATAGAAGTTCGATTATATATATTAGAGAGAGAAAAATGTAGATAGTTCCGTAACTGTTCTATTCTATATAGTAATGAAAATAAAATCAATTTAAAAAGAAATAATATTAACATATAATATTTACTTTTTTAGAGGTATTGCTTGATGTTTTACTTTTCGCTTGGCAACTTCTTTATTATTATCATCATACCAAAACTCATCACTATTGTAATATTTATGGTGGCAACAACGTATAGCAAGGTGTTCCCAGCTTTATTTTTTTAAAAAAACCCTTGAGCGAACAGGTTGAAATCATTTCCTTCGCGTTTCCGACGTTCGTTGCTTTTATTTCTGCCCGTGTCGTGCCAAATATTTATATCCGGAAAGAAAAAGCCTTTTCATAAATGAATTCATAGGAGGAAAAAGGCAACACCTTTTTGGATATCTGCCATTTGGATGTATCCGTGTTCCCCTGTGTCTTTCTGAAATTAATTTCGATGCCTTTTTGGGTTTGTGCCCGAACCTAGAAGACACAAAAATGGCACCATCATCGTTTGGTTATAAAGTCAAGGCAATGACAGCGGTTTCCGTTTTTAATTCATTTCGGTTTGTTATTAGCATAAAAATTCAGTTGGGCGTATACAGAATGGTTTCATTTTTATTTATTATGCTTAGACATTATTTTAAATACAATGGCAAGATATCCTCAGCCAAAATTTGATAAGTTCCTCCATTATAATAGCGAAACGAATAATTTTTGCGTACTAATTGCTATTGGAACGAAATCTTCTCTCATGAAGAACATTAGTTTGCAAATTTTGCAAGATTGACTAAAAAATTTGTATACTTTTTATTTATCCTTACTCGAAGTATTTTAGTATTTTCAAAGTACAATGGACTACCGATTAAGGCAGATTTTAAATTAAAGTATCATAAGGGCCAAAACTCTAGACTAGTGGTTACCAAATGGAGGCCCGCTAAGCCTTTTTTTGTGGCCAGCAAACTAAAATATATTAGTTGTCATTTTTTGCGGACAATTTTCGTAAAAAATCTATATGGGTTTAAAATACTTTTCTTTCGTCAAAAAAGAGCCCTAATTTCTTCGTTTCTTTGAAATTTCTCTTTTGTATAAATTTTGCTCATTAAAACAGAAGGAAATATTTCCTTCAGAAAAATTTTACCATTATAGCGGAACGCTAGTAATTTTTAACTCGTTATAATGATTCAACGTCTGTATTTTTAATTTTACCGTTTTGAAGGTAATTTGGAAATTTATCACAATTCTTTGTAATATGCCGTACTCGTTATATCGAACTTTCACTGCATTTCCGAAACTTTTACAGCCGTGCACATAAGTGCATTACAGCAAGCTTTCTTAGGAACATAATTAAATCGATATGTTATGCGCATAATATATTTCGAAGTTATTAGATTATTAGTGAAAACTCTCACCTTGTGAACTGAAATGTGATACAAACTCTCCAACTTTTTAAAAAAAAGAAAATCCACTATCAACTACTGCATTAAAAATTATTCCATTTTTATTTATCTATTTTTTCGCGGCAGCTTCCAAATTTCATTCTCCAAAACTCCGTAATTCGATAAATATTGAGCATATATCCTATTTTATATTGCTTTTAAAAAAAATATCGCCATTTCGTCAAAATGATCCTGTTTAAAATATGCATTATCTCGGATACTTCTACGGTAACTGCCATGATAAAAAAAAGCCCCCCTTTTCCCCAAATTTGGCTTTAAATGCTAATGAAATGACGTGACTCCATTAAATTGATTCGTGAAAATCTTCGATCCTAGGGCTTGAAATTAAATTATTCGAAAGTTCTGGAGCGGAATTAAAGTTTTAAGTCTCGGTGCCTGGGCCGATAATTATTTCGCGTGTGTTTGGACATTTATGGGAATCGTAGTTAGAAAATGATGTAGATAATTATGGATGTGCGTGGAAGTTTTATGTCATTAAAACACTCATTTTAGAGCAGAATTTCTAAATTATTCTTCATTTAATTATAGTTAAAGCATTATTAGAGGGAGTGCCAGCCGATATACTATACCGGAATGGCTTGCAGATTTCAATGATACGTTCTATATTTTAATGATTATCTATCTCCCTTGAAAGTGTGGTAATAGAGTAGTTAAAGAATAGATTTTTTCTGGTGTTATAGTTAAAAGGTGAATGTTTACACTCGAATTTTAGTAATAAATTAGTTAATTTGCAAGGCATTTAGTGACAAATATTAGTTATCTTTAAAATAGCACGGATCATTTGATACTACTTGTTGCAAGCCTATATTTTAAAAGCTGGCAACTAATTGCACCATTTTCCTATTTGACCCAGTGCTTTTTATAAGATAAGGTCAAATAACAAGGAATAAGGTCAAATAATCCAGAGACAAACAGATATTATAAAAGACATTTTAATAGTACTAACATACAACCACGGTTATAAACAAGCGAATCTTTCCTTGCATTATCGTTGCCACACATTCTGTAGTAATGTTAAATTTTTCGATAATGCTATATTATAATAATGTGAATATTACATTTTAAAGTAAGCTTAAGCTCTACTATCCTCGCATGAACCTTTATCAGACATGTGATTATTGGAAGAAGAAATTATCGGAATTATTTTTTTTTTCAATGTTTTTTTTTCTTCTCTATTTTAGTACTTAATTTTCTTCTTCTTTTGTACTTAAAAGACATTTAAAAGACGGTCAATTTTTATGCACAGAAGTAATACTATTTACAAAATTTAAAGAGGTAAATAATTTTTTTTATTATTCAATAATAAGATCGAAACATGGATTTATACGGTATTGAGCGCGTTGAAAAGTGATTGCTGATATATGTGATTAGAGATTTCTAGGCCGTAATATAATATTAAAAATTAATTCGATCTAGTAGTAGGAGGCAAATATATCCCATAGATAAAATATTTCTTATGTTACAATCGGAATCGGAAAATTACTACTCATTAAAATATAAGTTTAAAAAAAATGATAAAAAGACCCTTTTTTCTAGGGAACAATCTTTTAAATATTTGCCATTTCGGAATTTAACATTACCAATTTTATACTTTAGTGTTTGCCTCAGTAGTTCATTAATTCTAAACTAAAATTTACACAATATAATGCAATGCATTATACTCTACTACGCATAAATGTAATAATGGACTTTTTTTTCTCGAAGTTTTAACAAAGGAGTTTTTTTTTTCCTGATAAATCTGCCTAAAAAAAGTTGTTATTGCGCGTGAATGAGAACTTAAGAGAAATAAAAGAGGGTGCTGGCAAGGCTGGAATAAATGCCCCATTAACGCGATTTTACACAAGAAACAAAAATTAATTTTAGATAAGCAGAGCTCTGAAAAATGTTGGAATATAAATTATTGATGCGCGCTAGTCCGCTAAATCAACGGTCTTAAGAATCGCGGTCTTCAGCGAATTAGCGGAAGAATCACATTCCTGTTTTATGAATAATTGTTGCACTTATATGGTCACACTAAAAAATTCTTCGCAATTATTATATTTTTCCAAAGCATTAAATTATCTTAATCCAACGCCTCCTAATCATTTCATATTTACATACATAATAATATTGAATAATACTAAAATCTATAACTAACATACCTAACGCTATAAGGAGAAAGCAGAACACAAACCACCAGAAATGTCTAAGATACCTAAATGAACAAAATGAAATATATGTTAGACTTTTTATAAAACAAAAGGAAAGGCATTCATTCAGTACGTATACATATATAGTATAATACAATTCTTTAGACTATTTTTAAAATATAAAATTACTCTTGGCATTTAAAATAACTTTAACTATTTAAAATGATAAAACATGGATAAACATGTTTTACACAAACCAGAAACTTTTGAGATCTTAGGTAACTACCACGCTTAACGTGGGTTAAGTTAACATTATTCTGATGCCGACTGCTAATCTGCCGATTCGGGTTCCAGTAATATTTTTTTAACAGTAGAAAGTACTGTTGCACAATGCCTACAGTGCAACGATATATTGGTTAAACATCTTGAAAAACATTTTTTCCCAGTATTACACGGTTTTACAATGTAGAAACTAAAATAAAATGCATCGGGGGAAGGATTGTGGCTTTAGAATAAAATCGGAAATAGGAAAAGAATGAGTAACATTACCATAACAAAATATCTACAGTTAATTGAACATCTGTAGATACAAATTACAGCTATATTTTACACAGAGTTTAGATTGGACGATATAATGGATAAATGTCGTCAAGTAAACCCCATAATTATAACAATTAATTAAGTTTAATAAAGTTTAAAATCAGAATAAATTGTAAAACGCGGTACGAACACATGCTTAATTGCCAAATACAATACAGTAAATTGCAACTGTCTTTCCATTGGTGTTCAGGTGGGATGTTGTAATGAATAAACACATTAAGTAAACCATATTTGTAATAGCATATTCAGTTTAATAATATGCAAAAAATATGTTGAAAAACCGTACAAATTTTTAAGAGTAAAATCTAAAGTGAACCACGAACGAATATTGTTTGCAAAGCACCATTTCTAAGTCCGGCTGCATATCCGCCGATGCAAGAACTATCACTACACATTGTAACAGCTTACCTGCAATTATATACCTCATTCACAATTATATACCAATCTCCATCTTATTCTACACATGGATGAAATTTTTGAACATAATTGTAACAACATATTAAGTTTTTACTACTCAAAATCAACTATAGCTTGTTGAAAAACCGTAAAATTTCAAGGGTAAAATCTAAAGCGAACCACGAACGAACTAAGTTGGCAAAGCACCATTTCCAAAGCCGGCTGCATATCCACCGATGCAAGAAGTATCACTACACATTATAACAACTTACCTGCAATTATATACCTCATTCCGAAGAAACAATGAGAGCTATTTTCACATCTTCATCTTCTTCTACACATGGAAGAAATTTTTGCCCATATTTGTAATAGCATATTAAGTTTCTACTATGAAAATTCAACTATGGCTTGTTGAAAAACTAGTAAAATTTCAAGAGTAAAATCTGAAGCGAACCACGAACGAATATTCTTAGCAAAGCACCATTTTTAAAGTCGGCTGCATATCCGCCGATGCAAGAAGTATCACTACATATTGTAACAACTTTGCCTACAATTATATACCTCATTCAAAAGAAACAATTATATACCTCATTCAAAAGAAATAATGAGAACTATTTTCCCATCTTCATCTACACATAGATGAACTTTTTGTCCACATTTGTAACAGCATATTAAGTTTTATAATATGCAAAATCAACTGTAACTTGTTGAAAAACCGTAAAATTTCAAGTGTAAAAATCCGAAGCGAACCACGAACGAATATTGTAGGCTATTCCCCAAGCATGTCCGCCGATGCAAGAAGTATCATCACACATTGTAACAACTTTGCCTGCAATTAGATGCCTCATTCAGAAGAAACAATGAGAGCTATTTTCACATCTTCATCTTCTTCTTCTACACATGGATGAGCAAAAAGTTCAATCTCTCTTGGAGGATGAAGCAAAACCACCGCCTTGGCGAATTCAGCGGACTGTGAAATCGGTAATTCCACCCACTGCAAGTTCTTCAAGCGACTAACTCGAAAATGAGATAGATTATGAAACTTCCGAAAACAGTTATTGTCTATGATACCACTTCAGGAAATATATATATCAATAAGTGGATGTTTTTCCTAACATGTTGATTGTTCGATACAGTTCAAGTTTTTCTTTTTTTCGCCAAGTGAATTCAATTCAAGGCGTAATAGTTCTTTTTTTGGAGAGTGGGGGAAATTATTTTTCTCCCCTTTTTCATAAAAATACCCTTTTAAAAAACGAAAAAAGATTGAGTACTTTTTTTAAAATAATCATGCCATTTATTTATCTATCCAGTTTTTCTTGAAATCAAAATTTGAAATCGAGGATAAATAAATTAAATTATTAATAATTATTGAATAGGATAACTATCGAATAATCGAAAATATTTTTTAAAAAAATGCTATTTATTAATTAATCCAATTTCTCTTGAAACCAAACTTAAAAATCGAGGATAAATAAATCGAATTATTATTAAATATTAAACAGAAAAATTATAGAATAATCGAAAATATTTTTTTATATAAACATACCATTTATTAATCGATTCAGATTTATTTGAAACAAATTTTAAACATCGAGGATAAAAAAAATCGAATTATTAATAATTATCGAATAATCAAAAATACTTTTTAAATAAGATGCTATTTATTAATCGATTCAATTTTTCTTGAAATCAAATTTAAAAATCAAGGATAAATAAATCGAATTATTATTAAAACAGAATAATTATAGATGATATTATAATGGAAAATATTTTTTTAAATAAGCAAGTTGTTTATAAATCAATCCAATTTTCCTTGAAACGAAGATTAAATTTTTTATCGAATAATTCTCGAATATAAATTTTTTTAAAGGGAAAAAAACTGTTTCTAACATTTTATAACAAATCAGACATTTCAGGAAGGTTTTTTTTTTTTTTAACTTTCAATTAAGTTCATAATCATATTTCTTGGTTTCTTTCTTAAATCTTATAATAATAAAACTTTAAAACAAAAAAACAACATCCGCTTTATTTTTAAAAAATAAATTTAAAAAAAGAAAAACTTTGTTTAAAGCATTTTATAACACTTAGGACATTTCAAGAAGGATTTTATTAAATTTTCAAAATGTCCATAACTATATTTATTGGTCTCTTTCTTAAATTTTATAAAGGAAATACAATATTCGCTTCATTTAAAAAAATAATTAAAAGAAAAATGATTGAGAACATTTTTACTAGTTTTTTCAACAAAATTGTACGATTTTTTTTAAAATTATTTTTTATTGTTTGAAACGCCCAAAAGTTTAAGTTCTTTTTTTAAAGAGATATATCCAAATAAGTAAACAAAAAAATAAAATATTATGCTAACACATAATAAAATAAAAAAGAATAAAGAAAAAAGTAATAAAGACATAACAAAAATGTTTCAATAAAAAAATTTTCGTAATTTTTACATTTTGTAAATATTGTAAAAAACAAAGAATAAAGAAAAGGGTTTCTACTAAAAAAATAAGTAAAAATCTAATTAAATAGCATTACTTTGAAAGCAAAAGAAATTATTAATACTAAAGTGTAATCCGAACATTTTTATTATATTTAGAACAAATAATTAAACTGTAATAAGTATTTCCTTAAAATTTTTCGTAACCTTTTAACTAAATTTAATACTACAACGCATCCGATATTAAAACACAAGTTAAGAAGATTAAAATAAAAATTATTTCTTTAATTTTTTTTCTTCATTTTTTCCCCTCTTACTCAAGTAATTCTTTAAATAATTTTTGAAGAAAAAAAAATTCTTCTCCAACAAGCAACGTAATAAACTTTAGAGTAACAAAAGTCCGGGATATAAACTTAATTAACGGGAAAAACCCTCAGGAAATTTCGCCATACGTTTTTAATACTTTTTAAATGACTTCTAAACAAAAGCAATAAAAAAAATAATACGCAATTATAATCATATGAGAAGAGAAACTCAGGCTTAAAGAGAAAAATATTCCAATAAAAAAAAACATTAAAAACGCAGCATTAATTCTCGTTATTTAACTTAATTAAGAACTAAAACGAGTGTGCTACAGTTTTAATCTAGTTATTAAATTGTATTTCTTTTTAAGATGGGACTTGAGAATTAGTGAATGAATGATAATAGAAACATTTTATTAGTGCAGAGAAAATAATTTTCTTAATCAAGCTTAATTGATTTATAGAAAATTCTAATCGAATTTACCATAAAGTTATGCATTTCATTTTGATAACACAAGTTGTAATATTACAATTACATTTTTTTTTAAACAATAACCCCCGAAACGTAATTTAGGCTTATTTCAACTTACATCTTCAACTAACTTCAGAATTTATGAAAAAGCAAACGAAATTTAATCTAATTAAGATCGTGCAATAAATAATAATTAATTCCCAACAGCTATACACATTTTGTATCAAATAGTCAGATAAATTTGCAATTAAAGCTGACTATTTATTAAGGATGCTGATGACAATGTTATAAATATGATCGCTCTCAATTGACTTTTTGACGGAACACGTGATATCTTTTTTATTTTATAAGTGTGTCTAAAACCTATAAATTTATAACTTAAAACTCCAAATATATTCACTATGTATTCATTGAAAATTAATATTATAAATTTTAGACTGTATTTTTTACTAACATTTCCTCTCTGTATTCATTTAACATGTAATCGAAGGTGCCGGGTTAATTCTTTCTTTTCTTTTTTTGTGCTCAATTTTCATTTAGCTGTGCAAAAACTTAAAACTTAGAAGCTCGAAACTAAGGGAGTGGAGTTAAATGTGCAAGGAGTCCGATGTCATAATATAATTTAACTTTCGAAAATTAGTTCGAGAATTACTAAATGATGAACATGTAGTAAAAAATATAACGCGGGCCGCTCCACAGGTCGCATAAATGTAACTTAAATTGAAATTATTCGTGCTGAAATGGCCATTTTTGTTCATGAGTTAAATGCGATTTTTGCCCTAATTTCAATTTGTTTCACTTTTTAATTTTTTTCACTTTTTTTGCTTAATGGAATGACGTTTAATCCATTATTATCGA